AATCCGTTGCGAATTGAAAATGAAATAAAAACAAAAAATTCAATTTAATAACCCATTTGAATAATTCGTTATTTACGAGGCTTAGCTTCATTTTGATGGATTTTCAGAACAAAGCCCACGTTTTTAACTATTTTAATTCAGGCTAACGTATGAAATAAATTCCTTTGTATTCATTCAGATTCGGAGAAAGATGACTTTTCTGTGATACAATTGGAAGACGAAGATATGGTGGAGGATGTCCCTGATACCAGCGTTTCACAAAAGCAGGCTAATAGCTATGCTGCTAAGAAAACCGTGGCTCAAGGTAAGCGTTACAATAGAAAGTTTACTCATAAATTTTCAATAAAATAAACTTTAGAATAGCTTTTGTTTAATTAATAATGTAATTATTAATGTAATCTTTTTTCAGGAATGATGGATATTGCCCTGATAACAGCCAACGCCAACCAACTTCGTTACATAATTGAATTCAATCGACACAGCTCGACGTTTTATTTAAATCTCATTTTAATTGTAATTTCGTTATTTTTACAAGTCGCTGTTGGAGTTTCCTTAATATTTAAGGGACGAATGGATTTACGCGGAGAATCAAAGCATCAAAATGCAAAGAGAATCAATAACTACGTCGTCATTGGCATATTTTTAGTCACGATAATTAACGTTTTCATCGCCAGTTTCACAGTCACAAGCCAAGAAAAATGATATACTTTTTTATCAAACATTGAGTTTTTATTCTACCTTATAAAACCCAAAAAAACATTAAAAAAATTTCGAAAGTTGCCATTATTTTTTTGATACTTCTAGTTGGTGAATTGTCTTTGAACGTTTGTAGAAAATCGAAATTATTAAATTGAATTTAGTAAATGTTTTTTTTTCGGTTTCAAAAAGAGTTGAAAAATCAAAAATATTCTCCCTTACAATTTTTATTAAATTAAGAGTTCTGAAATTATTGACTAAAATGATTCTGACTGAGAAAGACTGAAATTTAGGCCAAAAATTCTTGAAAATTAATTAATTGAAAAAAATATTGAACACTTTGATTTTTTTGTAATAAGAAATGTTGATTAAAGTGATTCT